CCCCAAAACCCCAAAACCCCAAAACCCCGTGCTTGCTAATTTGAGAAGAAAAAAAGATCTATACTTAGAGGAAATTTAAAGATCTATAATTAAATATTTTTAAAATGTAGTCTAATAGCAATATCCGTGTTGGTGAAAGCAAAAAGAGAAAGCTTCCTCAATCAACTATTAATACCTTCTTTTCCTAAAGTTCTTAAAAATCATCAAAGAGACTAAAATAGAACGATGATTAATAAAATAAAACCTAAATGATTGACATTACTAAGAATGCAGATGAGCAGTAAATAGTATCTGATCAGAAATTGACAAAGACATAATAGAAAAAAGTCATACAAGAAGAGGAAAAAAAGTAGATTGGAGAAATTCATTAAGAAAAAACACTCTAGAAAATGTTTTAGTTTGAACTAAGTGACATGAAGAGTATAGATGATTTCGATAAACTCTTCTGCCAAATAGCTGATTTACTTCTTAATCAATACGTGCTAACCATTAATAAAATCTACAAGTACAGAATATCAGAAATAGAATTCTACTTTAATGAAAATAATGTTCATTAAGATACCTTTACTCATGGAGATGATCTCTAGAAATAAATGGGTTAATGGTATTTTCACAGATTTGGCAAAACATACAAGGTCGGTACTTATAAGGGGATGGATTTGAGTTTTGGGAAGGGACCAAATGCTTTTGGCGGTATACTGATAAGAGCGATTTCATCGTTAGGGGCTGAAGGAGGAAAGTAATTACCTCCAAATGAATTTATTGAAGGACCTTGTAACTCTGTTAATAGAATACTTGAGCATAACAGCACAGAAAAATTGGTGTTAAAGGAGATAAAGGACTTTGTTGTCCTAGATAATTTTAAGCTTGATGCTTTTGAGAAGGGCTCAAGACTTTATCTAAGCCATTTAAATGACTCTGAGAATGAAGTGTACAGAAAGAATTTTGAACCACTTAAGGTATGGAGATGCCCTAGAGTTGGATTGACTTTAAAGAGATTTGATGAGCACAAATGCAAATTTTGGATGGCTGATTATAGATTTTTGATATTCCCAGAAAAGCACAAAAAAATGAACAACTTTATCATAATGAGCATGCTTAAAGAGAAAATGAGTATTCCAAATATCGCAAAGTCAAGTAAGTCTAAGGCTCAAACTGTAGAAGAAATATTTAAAAATTATCAAAAAGGTTTAGATGAGGATAAAAAGAAGATCTCTGACTTTAAAGACGTTGATATGAAGAATGAATAGTTTGCTTTTGTATATGGATTACATCAAAAAGCATCAATTGGATCTAAGAACGACCAATGATTTAATTTAATTATTTTGTCAATTTCTTGTGTTATAGAGTCTAATTCTCTCGGGGTTTTGGGGTTTTGGGGAGATCGGAAGAGCGTCGTGTAGG